TTTTTCATAAACTTAACCTAGAGTGCAAAATATGGATATCTTTCTCTACTTGTGCATGAATATATCTTTTCTTATTCGAGATTCATTCAATTTGAATTAACAGCTCGTACTAATTGTAAGAATGACAGAGATAAATAAAAAAACAATGAAAAATATCGTGTTATCGAGATGAAAATAAATAATTTCTTGAAACTTTCCAGATGATATATAAATCTTAATATGTACTTTTATATATTATATATCGTATGTGCGTGCACATATATGTACATACACGATAAAATCTTGTATATATTTTGGAAACTAAAAATACATATGAAGCAATATATGCCTATGGATGTAAGAAATTTTATATTAAGATAGAGAGAAAGGAACATGTATTTAGGCAAAAGAGATCTCAGGTGATTATTTTAAATACAGGGTTTTTAAAGAGCGCATGTAAATCTTTTCTGATATTTTATCATTTCTTTAGATTTATTTCATTCGAATAGATTTTTCTGTTTTTATTTTGTCTCCTTATTTGATGCAAGATTTTACTTGAAAACTTTTCCTTGATTAAATTTACGTCCCTCTTTGTCCGTGCCAACCCAACTGAAATATTGTTCGACCAATGTTTTTGTTTCGTCCTTAGATGGATCAAGCTTTGTCCAACTATAAGATTCGAAATCCACTTGCCAATCTGGACTCAGCTAGAGAAAAAGAAAATATTTTTACATTTTAACACAAATATTCTCTATATATTTCATTTAAGTGCTCCTATAAAACTTACTGTAAAAACAAGGTCTTGTCCTCGCCAGACCCAAATGCCACTGATCGTATTGTCATTGTCTTCCCCGAATATACAGCAACTAGCAAATGCACCTTTTCTCAATGAATCTAATCGTTGATACATACCACTGATTAAATTGCAGGACATGAAAACCTACATAAACACAAAAGCACGCATATTAATGATTATAAGTATACTGTTTAATTTTTTAAATACTTCTCAAACATCTGCATACCTTCGTTAATTCATTATTATACTTATATTCGCTAAGCCAAATACTATAATTTTCCGAATCAAACTTTTGCCAGAAGTAAGGAATTGATTTAGATTCATCTTCGTTAGAGTAAAATCGTTTAAAATCATCAAGGTCGAATGAGCTTTTAGGCATCGAAGCAAAGGGATTCTTTTTTTTCGGCTCGGCGGCTAAAGCCTCCTCCGTTGCGTCAGCTTCATCTTCTACTGCTGCAGTCTTTTCCGTTACAACTTTACATTCTTTCTTAGACTCCTTAGTTTCCTTTTTAGATTCCTTTTCTTTCTTTTCTTTTTTCGAACTCTGTACAAGATAATAATTTACTAATATATTAATCTTTCTTTTGTGACAATTATATATTTTCATTGATATATTAACCTTTCCCTGAGTTTCTGCAAATTTCTTAGGATCATATTCGATAGTCTTATCCGCCAATTTAAAGGCACCGATTACAGCAATGGATTCAGGTTGATAAATGACCGTTTGGAACCATCGATTTACATTCTGGTAAGGCTTACGTAATTCCGGCTCAAGAATATATTGATACAAGTGTAACAATGTCATAGCTACACAAATATCCGCCAAAGTCAATCGTTCTTCTACTAAGTAAGTTCGTGTAAGCAAATGAGAGTTCAAAGCAGCGAGTGCTTTATATATATCTTCTTTAGCATGCTCCACAGTCTAAAAGAAACCATATAAATTCAACTAATTAATGTTACATTAGCATTTTATGTCATAACTTTACATATGCATGCATATTTGTATCAAGTAATAAATGTATGTATATACAATATTATAAAAGCACATGCCTTTTAAATGCACATGCTTTTTATGTAAGTATTATATGCATAAACTTTAATCTACCTCTCTGTGTTACAAAGAATGGCTATGTTGTGCCAATTTTGCCTTTGAAGGAGGATACATGTAATCACGTATGCAAAATTAAATACCTAATGCAATATGGAAAAAATTTACAGTAATACCTGTTTATGATATGGCATTATTCCAAGTAAAGGAAACACCCAAGCACAGCTGGCAGGAAGAATTTCAGAATCAGCGAATCCTAACCATTGGATAACCAACGCACGTTCAATATCAGTTTTCCCTCTCAATTGATCATTAGCCACTATAAATATGGCACACACACACACACACATATATATATATATATAGATAGATATATATATATATATATATATATATATATATATATATATATATATA